TATGAATCTATAAAGAGAAAAAACAAAACACCATGCTCACCCAAATGAAGCAACCTAAAATTGAAGGAAATCTGTTTTTGGGTGAACTATGTTCAAGTAGGTAGGCATTAGGGAGGGTGGCAGGTATTTGAAAGTCTCCATATAGTAACCTACCAGCTGTATTAATCCTACGGCACCCTGGCTCTAAGTCACGGCCTGAAGATGGCACAACAGCCGCTGTCCAGCAGATTTCGAGTATAGTTTTATTTGCATATTATTTTGTTTTACGTACACAGTCATATTCCTTTAGAACAGAAATTGTTTTTAAAGAAATTCCTTAACTTCCATGACAGAAACCACCCTGACTTGCTAGGTGCTGTCAAGGGGGAGAAACTAGAAAATTAGGATTTTACAGATTTTAAAGCATGTTGGGATTGGTCATTCAGAATTGCCTACATGGTCCAGTTATTAAGTGATGCTTAAACTGGCTGCATCATGAACCAAAATTAGCTCACGTATAACAAGAATTCTGTCCTTACTCTGACAAAGCTTAATGACAATCTATGTAAGAAAGAGGAATAGCACCACATTGGTGCTTGCTATAAGGATGGTAGATTTCAGACTGCTTTTTATTTCAAGTTCATGCAGTAATAATGCAGCACAACATACAGACAATTATGGGAACTTTACACAATATACATGGGCTGTTCACATTTGCTGAAACAATAAAGATCTTCATTGTTTATACAGTATGTGTTCAGTCTGTACCTACTATACTGTAATAACTCTGATCAGCCATCAACATCACTGCAAAAAAACACTGAACAACAATTACCATCTCTGTACAACCAGCCACCAAATACCGACAGGGCACTCTGCACCGGCCGCATGACTTTACATGATCCGGGAACTGAGAAAGAAAAAAATAAGTCACATACCACACAATTATGTGTAACCCATCACATCCATTTAAAGTTACAGTACAAAGTTTTGCAGTTTTTATAAGAATCAAAGTGTATAATAAATTTTTATATGGGACAAAGTTTAGATATTGTTGCCCTCATCCCCCATCCTCTCAGTAAGAGAGACAATTCCACCCCCCCAAAAAAAGAAAATTTTCACCATGCCACTTATCCTAATTTGGATATTTCTCCTCTTCTCCCTTTCTGGTGAAAACTATCAAATTTTGGTTTTCCCATCAGCAGTAGACTATTTTCATCTGAATATTATTATTGTAGCACCAATCATGGAATAGTGTAGCTAATAATGCAAATAACCAAAGGACATATAGCAAAAACCAACATGTATAAAACGTACATAAAATCAGAAGTTCAATTAAAAAACTTTTTAAATGTCCATCCACCACTATAAAATGCTCTTGGTTGCAGCAAAATAATTCACAAATGCCATCACTGTCTCCCTGTGAATTAAAACCTCACCAGAAATTATGGCTGCCACTACAACAGCAAGAACACCCCTGTGTTTAAACAGAAATTCCAAAGGTGCATGTGTCTGGCAAATAACGGACAACAGGTGCCAAAACTAAAAGTTCTTGCTGCAGATTTTAATACTATTTTATAGTATTAAAATTTTGGAAAATCCTTGGAAAATCACTGTGATGGCCAACCTTCGTTCTGCTTGTGGGAAACAAGAGGAAGTTAATCAAGCATGGGTCTCGTCAGTCCTTTCGAATGGTGGGAAACAGTTTAACCATTCCCAACATATTCAAGGATTGTGAGACATCACACTATCTCTAGAAGACAGCCACCCTCCTACTGCCACTCTTAACAGTCCAAAAATCAATGACATGGTGTAGCAGAACTGCATTCTTCGTTTCCTATTTGCACAGGTTGTTCACAAACTGCTAACTGCTCCAGGGTGGATCATAGAGGAACCACCTGCGGTGACAGCGGATACGTATTTTGGGACAATCGCTTCTCGGCCTTTTGGCTAAGATCAAGTGTAGAAGTGTTCTGGGACAGAGGAAGCTCTTAAATGTACTGGAGCATATTTTTACCTTAATGCTGCAAATACATTAGGGTAAAAAATTCTGAGCCTTAAGTACTACTTTAATGGGAAGCAGTGATGATAGAAAAACAGAGGAGGCACAGACCTTTAGGTTACCTACAGATCAGCAAGTGTGGGATAAGTATTAGCCTGATAGTTCAGCTGGGTCAGGGGTTAACAGATTAGAGGGGAGGAATAAGGCTAAATGCTAAATTTAAAGTGGACTTCCATCCAAAAATGGAAACTCCACTTATCTGCCTCTTCCCCAAACCCCCCCCCCCCCCCCTCCACGGCCACATTTGGCACCTTTTTGGGAGCAGCAGGTACCTGCTTGAACTTCCGGGTCAGTTCGCCGCGGCCCCCACAGCCCTCTGGGGAAACTCAACAGGTCCCACAGGACTGCAGCCCATTCACAAAGCACAGCGCATTCACAAAGCACACTGATTTGGGTTATTTTTACCGAAGAAATGCATACAGAATACATTTTGGCCTAAATTTATAAAGAACAATTATTTATTTGCAAAATTTTATAACAGAAACAAAGAAAAACTCCTTTTTTCTTTTTTCAGCTTAACAGCCGGTTTCCCTTAGTCAAGCACCTGACCGCCGACCGAATTGTCACCGAGTAAGGACACTGCTGGATGCCTGGACAGGTAAGTGCCCTAATATTAAAAGTCAGCAGCTACAGCATTTGTTGGGAGGTTACAAGGTTCAAACCCTTCTACTCTCTATCCTAAACAAAAAAAGAAAAGAAATTTGATTTGGTTGATGTACCACTTTAACACTGGCCATTTTCACCCCCTTCCTGCCCAGGTCCATTTGCAGTTTTATTTAATCACCACTGTGTTTTTTTTTATTTTTTGCTAAATAAATGAAAAAAGAAAAAAGGAGTTTTTATTTGTTTCTGTTTTAAAAATTTTGCAAATACATAATTGTTCTTTATAAATTTAGGCCAAAATGTATTCTGCTGCATTTCTTCGGTAAAAATAACCCAAACCAGTGTTTATTATTTAGTCTGTAGGAAAATTAAAGCGTCTACAAACAATGGTACATCTGAAAATTGATCAATCCTAATGTTCTGCTGGCCCATCACATTTCTTGAGGCCCTAAAATATCAGGAGAGTATAAATACCCCCAAATAACCCATTTTTGGAAAGTGGACAGTCCAAGGTATTTAGTAAGAGGCAAGACTAGTTTCCTGGAGCTGTGATTTTTTTTTTTGTCACAATTTTTTTGTATATTTTTTGTTTATTTACATACTGTCACCAGTGCAGTACAGCATCATCGTATAACTGATATAACTGTAATCAGGGACAATGACTGGTGACAGTACAAAAAGTTAAAAAAAATTTTTTTTCTTTTTGTGACCAGAACAATCCAATGTTCTCATAGTAACATTGTACTACTCTGGTGAAGTGATCAGTGAATTTCATTGCTATGAGCAAGCATTTTTACTGAAAGAAATTGATTAATTCAGTACTTCTGATTGTCATTAGCTAAAGCTAATCATATGGTACAAATGGGCTGTGATTAGCCCTACCATGTGATCACTGTGACTAATCACAGCTAGCAACACAATTGTACACAATGAATGGCATGAATTTTTTACAATTGTCATGTGATCTGCTGTGATTTGTCACAACAGTCACATAAAACCGGCAGCAGCTAGAGTGATCTGTCATCCACGGTGTCCAGTGACCACACGGATGCACACAAGGCGTGTTCCAGGAGGACATCATTTGACGTCCTCCCATAACGTGGAAGTGGTTAAGGTGTAACACAATTTTCACATATAGTAAGCTGTTCCACATGCTATTGTAATGTGTTTGCAGTGGGTTTTTAGACAAATTATTTATGTTTTTTTTTTTTTCTTACCGTGTTGTATTTACATGTGTTTATGTTTCATTTAAAAGGACATTCTGGCACATTTATGTGCGAAAAAATTCAGTATGCTGTACTTTTTTTTTAAATGCACATAGCACCACAATGGTGTAAACTGGGCTCATAAAAACACATTCACTTTTCTTGCATACGCACTTGTACTACATTTAAAAACACATTTGACTGAATCTGGTGTAAACAAGTCCTAAATCTAGTTTGGAGACAAAACAAAATTGTAAGGGAACCTTTTCTCTGGGGATCTTCTTCTTTCCACAGCCTTCACACGTCATGGGGTATTTGGGGCAGATCTCATCATGAGCCTATAAATACAAGAGAGAGAGTGGATAAATGGTGATCAGCACAGACTGGTAAAGCTTGCCATACACTACACAATCTGCCTGCACAATCTCCTTTAGATCTGCCAACAACTACTAAGTACAAGAGGCTTCCTAATTGGATACAACTTAAATGGATTGTTTAAAGTCCAATTACAGTAAAAATAAAATGTAAATAATGCATTGTGCTTCAATTACCTTACTTCGCAGTCTTGATTCCAAACACCTCTTCCTAATGCAGGCCATAGACGGGTCGTTTATTGGCCGAATTTTCGCCTGAACGAAAAATCGGCCGATATTCAAACCGTTAGTGGGGCAATGTCGTCGGCCGATTTTCGAGGTTCTTCTAGTTTCTTTTTATCGGTCATGCAGAAAAAACAGCCGTTTTTCATAGGCATTGGTGACAGCATTGACCGATTTTTCGTTTATTGGCCGATAAATGTCCCGTCTATGGCCTGCATAAGTCTATGAGCCATGCTAATATCATGGAGTTGGGTTTTATGTTTGCCCTCATTTTATGAGCCAGTGTAAATAATCTGGCTGTCGGCATGATTCTGGATTACAGCTAGTGTGCAGACTTTATTCAAAACCAGGAAATGCATATAATCACACTTTCAAATACACATTCCACAAGTTATTAGGAAATCTAAAGTGTAAAGGAAAACTACAGAAAAGCCTGTTGTACCTTGATATCTGGAAAATAGAAGGAAAGCTTGCAGTATCTGCAGTTCAGTTTTCGCTCTGGACACTCTCGTTCGTTAGATGCCAATCCTTGTCACTGAATCTGATGAGCTGTTTGCATGCTGGGCAGGGTGCTAACATGAACGGGCACTTCCCTTCATGTACAGCCTGGGAAGACAAAACATTTCTGTTATTATACATCTAGAGCAAGGTCTGACATGTAAACAGATGAGGTGGGGCTGTGGGTGAAGTGGGATACAGAACACATAGATAAAACAAACACAGATACTTGAGAATCCTGAAGCCTGAAAAGAAAACTGCGCCTCCGCACAAATTGTGTAATCTCAGCATTAGACTTTTGTACCCTCCCATAATTATAATTTATAACCTTTTCTACAGCCAATGAACCGGAGAACCTTGCAGATCTATGTGCATGTACTGCATATTAATGATGAACCCTGCTGCATGCATAGTCACACGTGTTTGCACACATTTTAAAAATGACTTTATAGACTTACGTGAAGTGAGAAAATTCAAGATGTGCTTGCTCATTACATGTTGAAGTGACTTTGTGGCTACCTTGTAAGCATTGCAAAAAAAATGCCTTATTGAGCCTTCTGCATGCTTACCTGTCCCGCTGCCCATCTTTCTTATCAACTACTACCAAAGAACCTGACTGGCCTGCGGCTGTGTTTGCCAGGTGCTTTGCTCTTCCACTGTGTGCTTTGGTACCATCTAATCTGCAGAAGACCAGGTGTGATATGCGCAAGCGTGTAGGATGCAAAAGATTCTTTAGCAGAAGTAGCTCTTTACGACAGTGAAGACGGACACGGCCAGTAGAAGGACCAGTAACATGGCTGAGCTGCTATATACCATAACTCTAAATGCTAACCTGCAGATCATATATAATAAGGGTCTAGACCATATTAGGATTGCTATGCAGAGTCAATACTCATCACCTGGTAACACACAATGCCTCTTTGCTGATCCTGTTATTGCTTTTGATGCTGAAGGAAACGCTGTAGAATATCACTAACCAGCGATGGCTCCCTCATTCATCCAGCAAAAAAGCTACATGTGGAACCAGGAGAGTATTGGCTTACGCTCATGACGTCACCATGCTGGTTACAAAGAAACAAACCAGATCGTCTTCTGGGACTAGTATTATACATTTACAAGCGCTTTTATATTCTATGACAAGTGAGTGATTAGATCACTTTTTTTTTTTTTTTAAATGTATGGTTTTACACTATGTGAGCTTCCCTGCCTCGGTTTCATGTCATGAATGATTACTTATCATTGGATATGGTACCTTATTCAGCATAAGGAGAATTGTGGAGGTGATATGAAATATCAGTCTTGATGGCATTACATGGAGATGTGGAGAAGAGGTCCACTGCAGAGGATATATTAAAATCACACTGTGAATCAAGTGCAGTATGAAAGTTTTTTAATGGATACAAAGTGTAATAATACAGGCCACTCACAAAGCATAAGTTAGTTTGCACTTGTAAATTAATAACCATCCGCTGTAGTGAATGAGTGTGCAGCCTCTGGATGGATGGTGGTCACCGGCATCTGGCGGTGGTGCTGGTGGCTTCCAGCATGTCCTCCTAGTTCCGGGATTCCCTCAGTTGAGAGGTCACTTCCAGTCATGTGATGGCGGGGGACGGTGCGCATTCAAAGCATGTGTGCTTCCTCATCAGGCAGCATGCTCCAAAAGTGGGCCAACCCCTGCCATCACATGACAAGAAGTGACGTCTCAACCAAGGGAATCCCGGAACTAGGAGGACATGCTGGAAGCGCAAACCTACTTATGCTTTGTGAATGGTACGTATTATTACACTTTTTATCCATTAAAAAGCTTTCATACTGCACTTAGAGGGCGCCGCCTCTTTCTTCCTGATCTTCCACAGGGCCTCTCTAGCTCGTTATTAGCTGGCTGGCTGGCTCCACTTCATGGTGCATCAGAATTACCTCTAGGATGCTTTATTTGTATATTTATCACAGTATATTGTTAATGATTTATTCTCCCTAATCCCATCACCATTGATTATATGCTTTTACATACTATTGTATGCCACATCTACCTCCTTACTCCGCCTCGGAGTGCGCCAAATATCCTACTTGCGCTATATTAAATCACACGCCTTTCTGACTCTTTTCTTAGCAAAAAAGTCCACATGTTCCGGTAAGAGTCCTCTAAATCTACGGTTGTGGTGCACTCTGGTGCTGGAGAAGTGTGGACAAACAAGGATCTCTTCATTATATTGTTCAGAATTTTGATCATCACTGGGACTCTCATTTGTTTTATTATTTTCATGCACTTTTTTTTTTGTGATATGATTTAATATATAAGCAGATATCTGTATGACTTGCGAGCCAAGTTATATCCACCAAATAACAGCCCCCCAAGAACGCCAAAAATGGACACAATATGTCCCAAGTATAATTGGATCGCAAACACTCAACACACAACGACCACTGTGTCCATAAAGTTAATTTTTCATATTGTGTTGCGCTCCTAATAATAGGTATCTCTTCTATATTCCTTATTCCTTAATACACCCAAAATTGACAATGTGTAATCGAATAATCTGATACACAAAAATATATGAAAATGTAAAAAAACATTTGTATACAGTGATTCAAAAAAAACTAAATATAATAAACACTTGTGTAGAGAATACTTAAATGTGAATATGATTCTCCTAAAAAAAATACATGATATGATGGTATGTACGTGGTAATAAAAATAAATAAACCAATATTGCACCATAATTTGTGAAAAAAAACAAAAAAATGTGAAATATATATAAATAAAATATATAATAAATATATATATACTGCAAATAAATAAATAAAAAATATAAAATATATATATATTAATAATGTCCTTTAAATTCAGTGACTCTGTGCTTGATTTAATCTTGAATTGGTGACTTTTTGTGAATCCGTGACTCTCTGTGAATCCTCTAATTAGTGCAGATGTATGCTCACCTCCTTATCTGCCTGCAATTAGGCTATATGCGCTTGTGGTTCACCTCCTATGGAACCTGCTTGGATGAAATTCCTCCTTTATAGACTGTGAAATGTGGATATCCTTTATCATTAATTAGCCCATTCGGGATTGATCACTCCTTACGAAATTCAAATCCCCTTATGATCTCCTCTCCATGCGTTTCTCCATATGTGGGGACAAATTACCAAACATAGTGTTTTATCCTTTTTAAAAAAATTCCTGCTTTATTGCTTCCAGAAGGTACACTCACATTTGTTGTACAAAGTATGAGGCAATTTATATATAAACGAGTAGTCCGCCGACCGCTGAGTCATGCACCCGCCGTCTGTCAAACAATCCGGCTTTCTCCGAGTGACGTTACAGCCCCACCCCGGGGTGGGGCTGTAACGTCACTCGGAGAAAGCCGGATTGTTTGACAGACGGCGGGTGCATGACTCAGCGGTCGGCGGACTACTCGTTATATATATAAATTTGCCTCATACTTTGTACAACAAATGTGAGTGTACCTTCTGGAAGCAATAAAGCAGGAATTTTTTAAAAAGGATAAAACACTATGTTTGGTAATTTGTCCCCACATATGGAGAAACGCATGGAGAGGGATCATAAGGGGATTTGAATTTCGTAAGGAGTGATCAATCCCGAATGGGCTAATTAATGATAAAGGATATCCACATTTCACAGTCTATAAAGGAGGAATTTCATCCAAGCAGGTTCCATAGGAGGTGAACCACAAGCGCATATATAGCCTAATTGCAGGCAGATAAGGAGGTGAGCATACATCTGCACTAATTAGAGGATTCACAGAGAGTCACGGATTCACAAAAAGTCACCAATTCAAGATTAAATCAAGCACAGAGTCACTGAATTTAAAGGACATTATTAATATATATATATTTTATATTTTTTATTTATTTATTTGCAGTATATATATATTTATTATATATTTTATTTATATATATTTCACATTTTTTGTTTTTTCACAAATTATGGTGCAATATTGGTTTATTTATTTTTATTACCACGTACATACCATCATATCATGTATTTTTTTAGGAGAATCATATTCACATTTAAGTATTCTCTACACAAGTGTTTATTATATTTAGTTTTTTTGAATCACTGTATACAAATGTTTTTTTACATTTTCATATATTTTTGTGTATCAGATTATTCGATTACACATTGTCAATTTTGGGTGTATTAAGGAATAAGGAATATAGAAGAGATACCTATTATTAGGAGCGCAACACAATATGAAAAATTAATATGATTTAATATATGTTCAGGATAGAATACTTGCTGACGTGACATAGCCTTTAGGTTGGGCTGGCACGGTTTACGTGTTTCAAAATAAGTTACAAACCTGTCATGCTAATTTACTAGCAAAGTTTTTTGTAAGCCACTTACCCAGAATAGGTATGCAGCAAGTGAAGGCAGAATCACTAACCTGCACACTTTATTTGAACAGTGACACAAAGTACTAAACCCAGAGGGGGGGGATTTATCAGAAAGTTGATCAAGTGACTGGCATTTTCAAAAGTAAGCAGGGATGGCAGTCTCAGTATTTCTCTCGTGGCAGGTTTCTTTTAAAGGTTAGTGTTTTATAGCCAACATTTCATCAGGTGTTTCAGAGTCACGAGAAGCAACACACACACACACGCAGCTGGAAGTTTAGAAAGGCTTCCACTAAAGTAAACGGTGCTCAGGAATGCTGTGCCAGGATATGCAGGTTGTACCCTAATACTAAAAGCTGGGGGGAGGTGGATACCAACTAAAAGGTGGCTATGCACTAGAAGTGTTTCGTTTGAAAGCTTTCCTTTCTTGAACGCTCAATCGATTTTTTAAAACGTTAGTGGGGTCAAATATGCATTTTCAACCAAAGTTACATGAAAATTCACCCTTTAAACACACTATCTTCTCATGTTCTAAGAAAGAGAATGTACCCCACAACTGTGTTCTTTCAAAGGCTCCAAAGCTAAAAAGTTAATGAAATACTTCAAAACACGAGTGTGTTTGCCACAGTCTGAGTGCATTAACAGCGTAGTAATAAAACCTTCCAGGGACTTTCCATCAATGTTGGCCTGGAGCCAGGGGCTTTCTAAAATGCTCACAATCTCTTTAGACAGCAGTGTATTCATGAGCACTG